GCGTACGCAGATTCACACGCCACGTCATGCATGAGAGCGCGCGCTTAGAAAAAAAAAGAACTTTGCCTGGATTTAATTATTTTGGACGTTCGGTGACCCTTATTTTTCTTTTGATGGATCATTTCATCTACCGATTTTCTACGTTTAGCGAAAAAGGAAGGAAACCATCGATTAAAGGTTGAATTTTTTGCTGAATGCACCATGGAATTCCGTTCTTTTAAATTGTTCGTTTATATGTGCGGCAGTTTCAAATGCCTCTTGAAGGGTTAAGTTTTGTGAGAACGGAGGCGACATTTGGAACTATTTACGCAACAGACCCAATTCTACAACATACGGCTAATATCGTTTGCCTCTGCTGACTCGCCCTTCGATTTTAACTGTGAACCCGTGTAGCCCATGCTGAATTAAGTGCGCCATTTTTTCAAAATCAGGGTTGTTTTCCACGCGCTTCATCTCTGAAACGAAGTCGGTGATCCGCAATTTCTTTTTGCTTTTCTGATACGAGCTATTTGATTAAGCAACTCATTATCTGACTGCAGTAAAAATTTAAAAAAATCTATCGACTGGAAAATTTTCCCCCGAACTTTGCCGATTCAACCACAAAAATGCATCGGCAAGTAAGTGACCTCTCACGCGAAAAAGTTCCTTACGGTTCTCCCCGCTCGCCCTAGACCACACTTGGCTAGCTCGCACTAAACCCATTAACCCAACCGGGAGCCTGTTCGCAGGCTACAAGTGAACGGATAATTTGAATAACGATAGCCAATATACTTGTTCCAAGATATCTTTAGACCACTTGGTTCTACCTGAGTTGATAACCACTGAATATAATGAGTAATGACTCTAGAGACAATTTAATGAAATGCAAACTGTGAGAGTAAATGTGGGGGATTCATAAGATGTGGGCTGTGTAAGGAATTAACACCATGAAAGCTGTGTTGGTATATGTGGGGGATTAATGAGATGTAGGCTGTGTAGGTATATGTGGGGGATTGATAGATGTAGGCTGTGTAGGTATATGTGGGGGATTAATGAGATGTAGGCTGTGTAGGTATATGTGGGGGATTAATGAGATGTAGGCTGTGTAGGTATACATAGGGGATTCATGAGATGTAGGCCGTGTAGGTTTGTGTAGGAGATTAATGAGATGTAGGCTGTGTAGGTAGGTATATGTGGGGGATTAATGAGATGTAGGCTGTGTAGGTATATGTGGGGCATTAATGAGATGTAGGCTGTGTAGGTATATGTGGGGGATTGATGAGATGTAGGCTGTGTATTGGTGAACCCAAGGTAGATTTTGACCACTATGCCGTGGTTTTGTTGAGTTGTAATGGCAGCATAAATCGAAAGTGATCACCACTAAACTGAAACAAAAACTGTGTCAGAGGTAATCTTGGCTATATCTATCCCCTCCCCCACCTGCCGACACCATAATACAACCTCATTGATAGTCTTCTGTACTCCTTTTGAGAAAGGAAAAAGTTGAAAATATTCATGTAACAAATATATCTGTATTTATCTTAATACTAATGTATTTATCACGTATCCTATTTCATATATTCAATGTAAATCGGAACATAATAAAAAGCTAATACCAGTCGGCTATTTTGCTCTTTTATCTAGTTTATTCGTATATTTGGCTCTTTAGGAATATAATATGCCAAGGCCGGGACGTTTCCCTCTATATAATTAGACGGGATGGGAGGGATGAGCTGAATTGCATCTCAGTGTAGAAAACCTCTTTCAAAAACAAACATTTTTATTCGGTAAATAAGCTACAGTATTTTTAAATATACAGTTAGCGGAAGGACGCTAATATGTAAATATCGCTCTATAGTACATACGTAATGACGCCGTTTTGAAATAGCTATGATGAAAGTTCATGGTACTTTCACAACTGCAACCGGTTGGAATTCGTCTAAAAAATGGAGCAACGTTGGCTTTCCTAGCGTGGATTTTATAACAAAAATATCTGTAAATTTAGTTAAACCTATGTGTCAGTCAGCTGTTTTTAAAATTAATAATTTAACTGACATCTTTAAAAAGATTTCTCAAAACTGTAGACAGTTCCTTCCACACTTCACGAGAATATTTTATGTTTGACATAACTCAACTACTAATTTTAACTACCTAGATTTATTTATTGCATATTTATTACTCCGCCTTGTCCATTACAGCAGGAAATGTCACGATTTTTAGTTCTTTCCCGTAGTCGCACACAACGGTAGTGTTATCACACACGTTCACGTAACGCACGAACACGGATGTGTCATCATCTCCCAGAAGAACGGTTTTCACGCGTCTACCGGTCAAGACGTCCCAAACTGAGATGTGTCCCTGCGGGTTAAAAAACTTGCCGAGTGAGGTAAATAATAAATGGCATAGATACATACCATCAGGAAATTATTGGTAAAAAAGGCTACTCTATAAAACTGAGACTGCCAATACAATGTGACACACCATTTTGTCTCTGCAATTCTACGTTGTTTATATTTGCACTAGCTTGTATTAGATACAGTCTTTACGATACAAAGCGTAGCAAGGCAGACCAGATCCTAAACTTTTTCAAAGTATCTCCAATAGTCATAGGACAACTTCCGAGTTACCTTATGCCTCTCTTTCAAAACGAGGCCTCGCGCAAAACCTTTCCTATGAAAACGAGTTTGATTTGCATGAAAAAGAAACACATTTCCATATGAATGGTTTCGCACGAAGTCTCGTTTTGACGCAGAGGCAAACGGCAACTCAGAAATGGCCAATTAGATCTCGTCTTTCACTCGTGAAAGTAGACCGTGCACTCGTAACTGAACTGGAGCATCAAACGGTCAACCTTAAGTAAATCTTGGTAGGGCTGAGAGAAGGGGAAGAGATTGGAGGGGAGGAGATGGGACAGGAAGGCAAAGTAAAGTAAAGCAGAGCANCGGATGTGTCATCATCTCCCAGAAGAACGGTTTTCACGCGTCTACCGGTCAAGACGTCCCAAACTGAGATGTGTCCCTGCGGGTTAAAAACCTTGCCGAGTGAGGTAAATAATAAATGGCATAGATGCACACCATCAGGAAATTCTTGGTAAAAGAGGCTACTCTAAACTGAGACTGCCAATACAATGTGACAAACCATTTTGTCTCTACAATTCTACGTTGTTTATATTTGCACTAGCTTGTATTAGATATAGTCTTTACAATACAAAGCGTAGCAAGGCAGACCAGATCCTAAACTTTTTCAAAGTATTTTCAATAGTAATAGGACCACTTCCGAGTTACCTTATGCCTCTCTTTCAAAACCAGTCCTCGTGCACAACCTTTCCTATGAAAATGAGTTTGATTTGCATGAAAAAGAAACACATTTCTATATAAATGGTTTCGCACGAACACTCGTTTTGACGCAGAGGCAAAAGGCAACTTGGAAATGGCCTATTAGGTTTCGTCTTTTACTCGTGAAAGTACACCGTGCACTCGTAACTGAACTGGAACATCAAACGGTCAACCTTAAGTAAATCTTGGCAGAGCTGAGAGAAGGGGAAGAGATTGGAGGGGAGGAGATGGGACAGGAAGGCAAAGTAAAGTAAAGCAGAGCAGAGCAATGTGGAAGAAAGCCGAGGGGAGAAGAGCGGAGGAGAGCAGATGAGAGAAGAGGAGCCAAGCCAAGGTTATTAACATCTAGATTCCCCGCACAATGTCAACACATTGTCAGTAAACAGGTGACGAGAATAACGAAAATCATCAATATGACATATGGACTTGATGAACCATGAAATTCTCAGAACTAACTTTACATAAACAGTACTGGTAATCAGTAAGGAGAATCACTACTTCGATAATGGGATGAGAGGATTATAAACTATTAACAAAACACAGACGGACCAACCTGACCACCAGTGATAAACAACGTTCGTGATAACATGGCTACATTGGAGCAGAGATCTGGAAACTGGAAAAAAAACAACATTTTCATTAACATTTTACATTTTCCCGCGCTTGGCACCAGTTCCTTGTTTTCGCGCGCTTGACATTGGTTACATATTTTCCTGCACTAGGCGCTGTCTGTAAGTTTCTTCTCCGAGTTTATAAATGGTTTACGTTTTCCCACACTCGGCAACTGTTACGTGTTTTCTCGCACCTGTCCAGGCCTCAAATTTTTGCTTTGATTCTTATTCTCTGTGTTCTTTGTGTTTGCTTTGAGTGACCAACAACTTTGCTTACCTGCTTCAGACGGTGCAAACACTCGCCGCGCGCTCTGTCCCAGATGCACAGCACACTCTCCAGACTCACACTGAGTAAGTGTTCAGCCGTACACGTGACCGCAGTGACGGACTTCACGTGACCTCGCAGGTGCTGCAGACATTCACCGCTGACCACATCCCAAACACGCACACCACCATTGGCAGCACCGCTGACCACTTGCCGGTTATTGGTCTACGATGAGAAATTGTAAGTTCTGTAATTAAGCAAAAACTATGGCCAAATAGGCTGTCTTTAGGTGGAGGTGTGCTAACCACGTGCTTGCCTCGTGATACCCCATAGATAGGGTCACTCTATTTCAGCTACTAGAAACATCTTCGAGCTGATACTACGAGGTCAACGTGCAGGTGCCCCTTAAACAAAGCAAGATCTGACATCTTTTCTTTACTGAAAACAAGTTTGAACGTACAATCGTGTGATTTTTCACCGTGACTAAGAAATGCAAGTTTTTAATTCAAATTTCATAAATACTTTAGTTAGGGTCCGGGTCAAACGTCGACTGACTTCACGTAAGTCCATGTAATAAAAATAAACTAAAGATATTGTTGTAAATTGTTACCGCTCAAGTGCATTACGTCATGTTCGATCTTGTACTTACACCTTACCTTGTCTACAGAAAGACAAGAAATGCTGTCTGCATGGCCGTGTAACGTGTAAACACAAACACACTCGTCTGTTCGAAACACCTGGAAAAAAAGACAACACAAGCGTGAAGTTGGGTAAGATGAAAAAAAAAAAAATTCTATTGTTATCCAGCAGTTTCACCGTCTTGCACATTAGCCATTTCAACGACACGAAAGATTATTGTTCACTTTTCACTTTTGCATATCTCAGATGATAAAATTTCCATTAAAAAGACATTTCGTAAGACTCACTAAAGACGTACATGTATTATAAAGTTTAAGTTATCAACACAACACAGGGTCAATTAACCTTGAGTGTTCTGTCATGACTTCCAGTAATGACCCTTCCTTCCATGACGCCCAAGGCACAGATGGGTTTGTGGTGAGCTCTCAGTTTGTGACTTATCCTACACAGCGGGGACTCCTGTGAAGTGTGCGCGTGTGAGCCGTTGACGCTGATTGGAGTAGAATCTTCAGCGTGCATTGCACCTGGGACAGCATTTGAGTGGCTACTACTCTTTCGGGTAATCCTTGGTGAAGATCGTTTTATTGGAGAACTTTCCAGTAAGGGTGTGTTTAAACTGGGCCTGCAGGGGACCCCAAGGCTAAGAAACTCTAAAGATCCATCCAAGCGAGCCACGACGATTTGAGGACTAATGGAGAGAAACAAGAGCAAAGTAATTGGTTGATTCACTCGCTCGTTCGTTCGTTCGATCGCTCTCTCGTTCGTTTGCTCGCTCTTTCGTTCGTTCGTTGGTTCGTTCGCGCGTTCGGTCGCTCCATCGCTCGTTTCTTTGTTTACAGACTTTTTGTGATTGTCAAACGTTTTTTTTTTTTAGAAATATATAACAGAATATGGTAGGTAAATTTGTTCCGTCCTTACCTCCCCAGTAAAAAGCTGAGTTTCGTTACGCCGATGTTGCCATCACGTGACACGTAGACTTGTGCGCCAGACAACACACTCCAAATCTGACAAAACACACATGTACAAGTAATATAAAGAGGAATTGTGGCACAGATTATCACTCTACTTGCGTTGTCAACAACTCAAAGTTCTACCACTAAGCTTCAGTGCTTCATCTTTCGAATTGTATTTCTAGCAAACATTCAACCTGGAAAAAGAACTAGATAAAATTGTTCACACACTAAGAACACATTAATCACATAATACCTCGACAGCGCCGTCACTGCAGCCAGTCACCAAAAAATCACCCTTACAATCAACAGACCACACCGAGGCTCCAGTAGCTCGGTTGTTATGGAAACTGTCAGTCTGGGCGTACGCCTGTTCATCACATGACCCCTCTGAGCTGGACAACCATCCTGCGTCTTCTTCATCGGTGCTTGACCACGAGCTAGTGAAAGAACCTCTAGAACTCACCCTGGGAGACCACGTGGGTATGTCCATTCCATTAGTGTACTTACTGAAGTCATAACCTGTGGACTTTGGACTACCACCAGACACGAATGACTCATCTAGCGAACAGCTGTTATTCACAACAGCGATTTCCGCAGGGTTTGATTCAGATTTTGGTGAGAGCGGTATTCCATTGCTCACTTCTGTGCCGTTCTCATCCGTACTGCACAGCTGAGGCGGCGTGCATTCCGAGTCTGACACGTGACCGGGGATGACTCGCGCAATAGTGCTAGGAAGGTTCTCTAAGAACCTCTGAGTTGTGTAGCCGCTGTCCGCACCCAAACTGCGCCTGTGTTTCAGCTTCTTTTGTTTTGTCTTTCGCTTGAGCGGCATGTCTGAATGAACAGTGCTGTAGAAACAATCACATAAGTTTGTGACACGCGTTTACTCCACTTGTAAGTCGGACCCCCGCCCCGCCCTCGCTTCCAATAAAAAAGGAATAAAAAGAAAAGAAACAAAGAAAACATCAAAGAAAGAAAACTAAACGAAGAAAGGACAAGAGAAAGCGAGAAAATAGGTTATTCTTTCCTTCTGCTTACTTTTGCTTTGACAGAAAGAGACAAAGAAGGAAAGGAACAAAGAGAAAAGGAAAGAGGCAAAGAAAAGAAAGAAAGTCACAAGACAAGCAAACTAACCTTTTTCTGTGAATTACTCTTAAACAATCTCCGGTGGCAATGTCCCAAACACAAATTTGTCCGCTTAAACAAACACTGACGATGTACGATACAGTACACTTCAAATGCTCCACGTTCTGCAAAGAAACAACAAAAACAAAATAAATGCTGCAATCAAGACAGTCCAAAATATGCCTCGCCAAGAAAGCTAAGAATATATCAGAACAGCTCTCGGCAAATGGCATGGCAGGAAAATATTCGGATTTGAGGAAGAATAAGCAAGGATACAAGTTTGACGTCAACTAAAAGAAAATGTTTCCTAGTGACAAAGGATTTAGTTGTCCACTTGTAGTAAGGTGTGGAAAGTTTTAAATTAGAGATTGAATAAGGGTTGAATTTCATTTGGTAGGCTTCAGAACTGAAAACCAAAAGCAGCAGAGAACGAAACTCTTGCTAAGGAATGACATGCATATTGCAAGAAACATGCCATCATGATCAAAAGCACATTTTTCTCTGCAAGCCATACCAACCTGAGTGTGCCCTCTTAGGCTGATGGGAACGCTCTCCACCAGAGTATCACATCGGTGCCCTTTTCCCCTCCTTCCACGTCCTGACCTGGGGTTCACTTGAAGATCATTCAGAAATTTACAGACAAAGAAGAGAATAATCATGACGACTACACCAAGTACCACACAGGACAAGGCGTTGTGATAGTACTTGGGATCTCGGCCCGAGGCCGTCTCCTGTCCATGCCCCAGAGGATGGTCAATTTTTACCGTCCCCTCCACTGAAGGGAAGTCCGGGTTACTCGCCAACAGTTGGTCGCCATCTTGAGGCATATCCGGAACGAAAATGTCTGTATCGATGTTAATGCCCAGATGAACAGGCGGCAAAACTGTCACATACCTTTGAACGATACCTCAAGTTCAGTATTCCAAACTTATAATCATTTATTTACCGTGACAATTGTTCCTTGAAAATAATTATATATAATATATAACTTATTAATTCACTCTTATAGGAGGCTGAAATTATAATAACTTTATTTACCCTCGGCAGTGTTTATAGCACAAAGCAGGGCTCGAAATTGCGACTCACTGGTCGCCAATGCGACCAAAAATTGAGCCCTGGCGACTAAATTTTCAGAACTGGTCGCCAGC